GTCTCATGCGGCGCAAAAATAAACATAAAAAACAAAATAAAAAATAAAAAAAATAAAAAATAAAAAAATTGGGCTAGAATAAGAGAGAAATAGGATAGAATAGAAAGGAAATTAATGGATTTAGAAAGGAAAGGAAAAGGAAGGAACTGATGTTATGTGATTGATTAGAAGATTTTAGTCATAAATATATGTTTTTAATGTTTGTCTTTTCTATCTATTTTCTTTATTTTCTTTATATTTTTCCCCTCTCTAATCTCCCTCCTCTTTACCCCCCCCCAAGGTATACCCATCCCTTCTCATTTATCACTTTTAAGTCCTCTTCTCCCCCCCCTTCCCCCCTCCCTCCCCCTTCCCTCCCCACTTCTCCTACCCTTCTACTTTTCCCCTAAATATTTTTCTTACCCTTTTCCTTCCTCCCTCTCTCTCATCTGCATTCCTACCTCTTCCCAAAATAATATCCTTACTCCTCTGCTCTCTCTTTCTTCCTTTCCTTCCTCTCTCTTCACTCTCCTCTCTTTTCTAACTTTCCCTCCTTTTCCTATCCCCTCTCTTCTTCTTTGTCCTTTCCTTTCACTTCTTGCCCCTCCTTCTCTCTTGTTCCCTTCTCTTCATCTTGCTCGTCTCTTCCTCGTCCTATCTCTTCCTTCCCTTCCTCCCTCCTTCACTCCGCGTCCTCCCCTTCCCTCCCTCTTCTCTTCTCCCTCCCCCCTCTCCCCCTTTCCCTCCACCCCTTCCCTCCTCCCACCCGCTTTCCCTTTTCCCTTCCCCTCTCACTCTTTCCCTTCCCCCTCTCCTCTTTCCCTTCCCCCAACCCCCACACCAAACCTTCTTCCCAAACCTCCCATCCCCCTCTCCCTCTTTCCCTCCTCTCCCCACCATCCCACACCTACCTTCTTCCTAAACTCCCACCTCCTCCCTCACCTCCCCACCCATCCCCCACCCACACCCACCCGCTCCCACACCTCCCCCCACCCACCCCACCCCCCCTACCCGCCCATTTCACCCATATCCTCCTCCCGGCATTTCTCACCTGTCCTGCCTCCTACGGCCCTCCCATTAGTCTTCGGTTGTCAGCCCCTTAACACCTTAATCCGCGGCTTTTCAATGGTAGTCATGTCCGCCCTGTTCATGAAGGCGAGGTTTAGCCCCCCCCCTCCCTCACCCTACCCCCCCTAAGGGATCTGTCAATCTGGGTTGGGGTTGTCGCTCATCTGGCTTGCTTTCTTTTCTTTCTCTTCTTCTTTCTTTCTTTCTTTGTCTGTCTGTCTCTCTCTCTCTCTGTCTCTTTCTCTGTGTCTCTCTGTCTGTCTGTCTGCTGTCTGTCTGTCTGTCTGTCTGTCTCTCTTCTCTCTCTCTCTCTCTCTCTCTCTCTCTCTCTCTCTCTCTCTCTCTCTCTCTCTCTCTCTCTCTCTCTCTCTCTCTCTCTCTCTCTCCCTTTTTTCTTGTTTTCAGTCTGTATGTCTCTCTCTCTCTCCTCTCTCTTTCTCTCCCCTCTCTTCTCTCTCTCTCTCTTCTTTCTCTCTATCTATCTATCTATCTATTCTATCTATATATCCATCCATCTATCTATCTATCTTATCTATCTATCTATCCATCCATCTTCTTCTATTCTATCTATCTATCCATCTATCTAACTCTATCTATCTATCTATCTACCTATCTATCTATTTATCCGTCCATCTATCTATCTATCTCTAACTATCTATCTATCTATCTATCTACATCTCCCTCATACAGACACAAAATCAAGCATACCGACCGAAAGCCAAACCAAACAAACAGAAAACGAGAAAGTTCCCCGTTTTCTGTTCGTCCGACGCCCGTTTTCTTCGTAAACACGTGACCAGCCGTTTCCTCACTTTGTCATTTCTCCGCTTCGCCAATTATCAAAATGAACAGAGAAAGAGAGAGAGAGAGGAGCGAGAGGGAGAGAAGAAGAAGAAGAAGAAGAAGAAGAAGAAGAAGAGAGAGAGAGAGAGAGAGAGAGAGAGAGAGAGAGAGAGAGAGAGAGAGAGAGAGAGAGAGAGAGAGAGAGAGAGAGAGAAGAGAAAGAAAGAAGAAAAGAGAGAGAGGGGGGTTGGAAAGAGAGAGAGACGCATGGTGATTTTTTTTCGTCTTTCTTCTCTTTTTTTCTTGCTTTCTGTTGTTATTTTAGTAATAATTTCATTATTACATTATTAATTAATTATTATTAATCATCATATCATCATTCATATCATCATCATCATCATCATCATCATCATCATCATCATATCATCATCATGATATCATATCATCATCATCATCATCATCATCATCATCATCATGATATCATTATTTATATTATCATCATTCATCATCATCATCATCATCATCACATCATCATCATGCATCATCATGATATCATATTATAATTATCATCATCATTTCATCAATCATCATCATCATCATCATCATCATCAATATCATTATTATAATTATCATCATCATCATCATCATCATCATCATCATCATCATCATTCATCATGATATCATTATTATAATAATCATATCATCATCATCATCATCATCATCATCATCATCATATCATGATTATCATCATCATCAATCATCATCATCATCATCATCATCATTATTATAATATCATCATCATCATCATCATCATCATCATCATCATCATCATCATCATGATATCATTATTATAATTATCATCATCATCATCATGATATCATTATTATCATCATCATCATCATCATATCATATTATTATTATAATCATCATCATCATGATATCATTATTATTATTATAATTATCATTGTTATGATATCAGTATTATCATCAGCATTATCATGATATTTTTTATTATTATCATTATTACTATTATCATTATTTCTTCTTCTACTCCTCCTCTTTTCTCTTTTTTCTTCTACTTCTTTTTCTTCTTCTTCTTCTTCTCCTTCTCCTACTCTTTTTACTTCACCAATATTCTGCTCATAATCTTTATTTAATTCAACCTTTTTAATTCTGTATTTTGTCTTTTTACTTCACGAAAAAAATCAGATCTAAAAGGTTTATATATATAAATAGATAAAAAACAAATAACTAAAAACATATATTCATATTGTTGCACAAATCATTGCAAATAAAGCATACATCATAACCTATTGCAATTGACAATAAAAATGGTAATGTTTTTTTGCCAAGAGGTAATTTCGTAATATCCTTTTAGCAAATTGAAGTAAATCATTAATATTTTTTCTTTCTTTTTATTAAGTCAAGAGGTAATTTTTAAAAATCCTGTTGGTATTTTTTTTTATACGTATCAAGAGAGACGAAGAGACTGATAGATAGAGATAAATAGATAGATATATGTATAAGTGTAACAGATATATATTATATATATATATATATATAGAGAGAGAGAGAGAGAGAGAGAGAGAGAGAGAGAGAGAGAGAGAGAGAGAGAGAGAGAGAGAGAGAGAGAGAGAGAGAGAGAGAGAGAGAGAGAAAGACAGCCAGATAGACTTAGATAGATAGACAGTAGATAGAGATGGATGGATGCAGTAGATAGACAGATAGAATAAATAGACAGATAGACAGATAAATAGATATAGATAGATTGTAGGAGAGATATATACAGGCAGATAGAGATAGATATATAGACAGATAGACAGATGTATAGAGATAGATAGACAGAAAGAAATAGACAGATAGATAGGGACAGACAAAGAAGAATTAGACAGATCTCTCCTTCTCCTCCATCTCCTGTTTATCCTTCCCTCTCTCTTTCCCTTTCTTCCACAAACCTTAAGATATAATAGAAGAAAAAAAATTAAAAAAATTAATCACTTCATTATTTGATATGTACATGATTAATTAAATAACAATATTTGTAAGGAATTTTGCAATCTTTCATACCGTGAATTTAATGCAAGTCATTTTCTTCTTTACCTTTCTCCTTTTCCTTCTTTCTTCCGCTCTTTCTTCCTCTTTCTTTTCCCCCAACACAAGGGAATTAGATTTATCAAAAGGCCAATCTAGATCACGACTGAATTCTGGGAAATTTTGATAATCAAGCTATTTTGCAAATCATTGTGCTTGTTTGTTGAACCTGACTCTAATCTGCTTTAAAATGCAAGACATAATTGTGTTTTTTTTTTATTATTATTGGTAGTGCTTGTATGAGTATCAAATATATATGTATTGTTTTAAGACATAATGAAATAGATGGAGAATAAAAGAAAGTTGAGAAGTAAGACGATGATTAGGAGAGACATGGGGGAAGAAATAAGATTTTTCTGTGTGTGTGAGTGTGTGTGTGTGTGTGTGTGTGTGTGTGTGTGTGTGTGTGTTGTGTGTGTGCTGTGTGTGTGTGTGTGTGTGTGTGTGGTGAGTGTGTGTGCTGTGTGTGTGCGTGAGTGTGTGTGTGTGTGTGTGTGTGTGTGTGTGTGTGTGTGTTGTGTGTGTTGTGTGTGTGTGTGTGTGTGTGTGTGTGTTGTGTGTGTGTTGTGTGTGTGTTGTGTGTGTGTGTGTTGTGTGTGTTGTGTGTGTTTGGTGGTGTGTTGTGTTTTGTGTGTGGTTTTGTGTTGTGTGTCTGTTTCTCTCTCTCTCTCTCTTTCTCTCTCTCTCTCTCTTCATCTTAATCTACTATCTCTTTCACTTTTCTCTGTCTTCTCTTTCAATAGATGTAGATTAAGATAGGTTAGCAGATATATAGATAGAGAAAAAAAACTCTATTCACCTATCGTAATCTATCCTTTTCAGTTCTTTCTATCTTCCCTTTCAATAAAATTAATCAAATGGCACTCTAGATCTCCAGTGCCATAAATTCAACACTGTTCTTCAGAGAGCCACGCCCACTGATCAAATAACACGCACCATTTTTAGAATTTACAAAAGAATTTCGAAAAATCTTCTTTTCATCTGGCGATCAAGTCACAATACATCTTTCAAGCAAAGTTATATAAAGAGTTTTGAAATTCTTCTCAAAGATGGACAGTGAGTAATGGGTCGATCAGATTTCAAAAACCCATTCGAATATTTTTCCCTTCAACTTGCAACTTATTCCCTGCAACTTTCTGCAATTCGCGAGAGATAACGAAATATCAAAATAATTCTTGTTAAAACATTTTGTTTCGTTCTGACTCAGTTATAGATAGTTTTTTTTTTGTATTTTTTATGAGAATTATTATTTTCTCTTTTTTTCCTTTTCATAACGAATGTCTTTTGGCTTATCTGAAAAAAAATATTGCCACAGGAAAGTATAAATGTGAGGCTAGAACAACACAAAATACCAGATAAGGATTGGTGTTTACTTGTATTTAATACCTTTCGATAGATATTTACTTTGTTGTTTAGCTTCCTGTAGCCTTTTTTTTTTTTTCCTTTTTTTTTTTGCTTTTTTGCTGATAGATGTAATCTTTCTTTTATGTGATTGATACTACTCTTATCATTATCATTGGCCTTATCATTACCATCATCGTTTATTAAGATATTTCCTTTTATGATAACATACCTATCTATCGAATTATCCCCTTATTTCTCATTCCACGTCACCTTAAACCGCGATACCACAGGGGGATATATATAAACTAAATAAATAGATCAAATATAATAATAATAATAATAAACACGAACACACGACAAAAAAAAACAAACACACACACAAAAAAAAAACAGAACTTAAGCGATGCCACAGGGGATATTATATATAGAAATAAATAAATAGATAAAATATATAATAATAATAATAATAATATAAATAATAATAATAATAATAATAATAATTAATAAATAATAATAATAATAATAATAATTAATAATAAACACTAAACACACGACAAAAAAAAAAACAAAAAAAACATGAACTTAAGCGATACCACAGGGATATATAT